AATTAATCCAAATTTTCTTTTCAAGATCCCTAAAGATAGCATCACTCAGACGTCAGTAAGTAAATTTCAGAAAACAACACTCACATTCCCAATAGGGCGGTGGATGAATTATATTCTTTCAGTAGGTTACAAATATTTTTCATTATTTAGGAGGTTTGGATGCAAGGTTTTATTGAGAATTTTCAGGAAAGAAGGAAGCAAAGGAGATCAGATTCAAGGTTCTTGTTTTGAAAGGAAAAATGGGGATACAGATATGAAAGGATAAAAGTGTATATTATTGAATCTATTCTGAAAAGAAAAAAGGAAGATATAGAGATGATACCATAAGAAGGTAGATTAATGAATATACACCTGAAAAGCAAATACTAGATTTTAATATTTTACATTGGATTGGATTTTATATATTGAATATAAATTTTATTTATTGGTACAAATTTGAGATTAATTTTGTTAAAATATACTATATATACATTCATAATCTTTGTCAAGATCATACCTATACAGTTAATTTAGCATTGTAATGCAAATTTCTATTACTCAAAAGTGAATATTGTCAACTATATAGGATAAGAAGGAAATTCAGTTTAGTGAGTAGTCACTGCTACAGGCAAACTTGGAGTCACATTAGGTATGCTTTCAAGGTCAAACAGAGATATATTTCAAGTATATCAACCTCAAAACATTTAGGACAACTACAGAGTATGGAATTTAAAATGGTTTTAAACATAGGTTCTTTTTTAAGACAATGAGACATGTCTGCTCCTGGCAGCACCAGTCAACCTCAGAGAAGTTGATGGGCATTAAAGAAACTCCACATGGAGTTTACTTTGCCTGGGAGAAAAGTGGCCACTCAGCAAGAAAGTGCACTTGCCTCAGCTGCTGACAATATGCAGCACACAAAAAGGAGTGACTGTAAAACAGGATGAGACAGTCCTTCAAAATCTGCCTTCACAGAAAAGTCTGTCACATATGCTAGGTTGTAAGCAAAAGATAGATGACCCAGCATTTCATAAAAATGTTTGATGACTGTTCATGCAGCCAGTTGTTTTTGACATTTCTCATATTTTTTGGAAGTCTCTTGCTCACATTTCCTACTTAATCAGTAAATATATTTCCTTTCTTGGATATCTGAGGGAGAGGAAGACTAGATAGTTAGAGTTACATTATTCCTTCTTAACTAGACACAGAAAAGTAGATATAAGCCAGAGGCCTTTACTACCTCACACACTTTGGTTCCATAATATTCAATGCAAATAGGTTCTTTTTTAAAATTGCTTAGAAAATAAACAAAAAATGTCTAAATAGATTCAATAGATCACAGCAATATCTAACATTTTGCTTTAGTTATACTTGAATGAGCCTGCATTCAATCAAATGACACGGGGTTTGATTGTTTTTGTTTTTATGAGAAATTTCCATAAAATGGAGCAGAAAAACATGACAGGCCAACTGGAGATCAAAAGGATATGACAATACCTTATTTAAAAAGCAACATGGTAGAGCTGAAAAACCAATGCTTAAAAGAATGAAACTAATTCTATGACAGAAAAGGACACACACAAATGCAGTGACACATAATTTTGACAAAGCTGTCAAAAATATTCATTACAGAAAAGAGAGTTGTCAACAAATACTTTTGGAAAAACACAAAATATTGAAAAGGTATTTCCCTTACAATCTTACTTGAGGGCCTATCATTTAATGATGAGGCATACCTCCAGCCTTAAATGGACATCTTTGCATAGGAAAATATACAATGTTTAATAAATATTTTGTAAATGTTGGACATTTTTAGTTTTCATAGAAATATAGTTTACAAGCATGAGGCTGTTCCATTTGGTGTCAGTCAAACAGTCACTGTGATTCAAGAAATGAATAACAAATTCTGCTGAGAATGTTTACCAAAACAATGGCTTAGAGAGTGAAAATGAGATGACACACAGAACTCATCCCATGAATATGAATACAGAATCCTCAAAAAGATAAAAATGGAACATCCAAATGTGCTGATCCCAAACAGTGTGAATTTTCAGGAGTTTGGTAATAAACAGGACAAGAAAGAACATTTGCAATGCCATGAATTTGAATTCTTCATGAATGTTACCAGAATGCCTACAGCTGGATTTTAAGAAGCCACTCGTAACTGCTTCAAACACTGAAGGATCCTAAGAGCCTTTTGCCTGATGTGAATTACTTAGCTCATCATCAATATTGGTGACTAAATATTCTCACTCACCCGCTCTAACACCTGATTATATTATTTCTGCAGCTATGTGAGGTGTCTTTTCTCTTGCATAAAATAATAATAACTCTCACACAGTGTTAACACTGAAAAAGGTCAAGAAAAGGGCTCTACTTGTGTGATATTCAGAAAAATCAACTTTTCTCTGGCAGGTCCCACCTACAAATGACAAGGATGGATTCTGCCAGAACAGCCAGTTCCTCAGCTGTGCACAAATGAACAATAAAGCCTAACTTTATCCTCTGCTCCTTATATGACTTCCCCTGGACAAAGTCTACCAAAGCCATACATGATCAGGTGCACTCATCTCCAGATTATTCCATGGCTGTAAAGGCAGTGAGTAGACAATTATTCTGTCAATATAATTTGGGCCAAATTCCAACATTCAGTGGTTCCCTGACTTTAAAATACTTTAAGTGTCTTGTGAGAATGTCTCTGGTTTTCTTAGAATGAGACAAAATCATCAAAGGCAAATAGATATGCTATCCAACATAATACAACTATTATCACCATAAGAGGTGAAAAACACACTTAATGACACTACAGAATTTCACTTTCTCTGTAGCAAGGAAACTTTTCTGGTCAATTTTTTTCTTAGATAACCTGTATACTATTTGAAGTGAAGTTTCAGGTCTATTGATATGCCCAGCACATGAAAATATTCCACATTGGATGATGGATCATGTAAACTACAGTACATAGGCTTTTGTGTTTTAACTCATCCAAGTTCTGTTCCAATTCCTACAAGCTCCAATAAAAAGAGGCAGTAATGGAAGCCAAACATGGTCTTAGACATGTAAAAGCATCTATTTACACACTGTGTTGTGCACTTCGCAGAGTCAAGTGATTCCAATCTGAAATAGGAATGAGTAGGACTATAGAATAAATAATATTAGTATCCAAACAGTAACTATCTAAACACAACATGTGCTAACCATTTATTTTCTTGTTTGTCAAGAAAGGGTTTCTTTAGATAATAGTAGTACATATCCTATAACTCACTTTGTAGACCTGACTGGCTGAGATCACACAGAGACACACCTGCCTCTGTTCCTAAGTACTGGTTCAAAAATGTGTAACTCACACCTGTTTATGTACTAACTAATATTTTTGAGAAAAAATGAAACTATGCTCATGAAGCTGTCTTTGGTGGTTCACATCTGGCCTCCTAATATGAAGGGAAATGGGTAAAAAACAGCATAGAAGAAATTAATGTACATCACAAGAAATCTAAAGAACAATTCAAACCTAAAATGGAAAAATAAGTCAAGGGATTCACTGGAAATGTAGGAGGCAGAGAGATGGTGCTGATAAAGCAAATCAGGGGGTTGTATGTTCTTAAAATCATCACATGTCAGGGTGGAAAATATCATTGCACTGCATGTCAGATCATGGAAAATGTGATTCACCATGTTTAAGATAAGTCAAAGAAAGCCAACCCATGCAGACCGTGAAGGTGATGTCACAGTATTTCTTCATGTGTCTATCCAATCAATGATAAATGTCACAGTTGTCCTGACCTAAGGGAGCACAGAGACTCTAGTCATAAACATGGGGAGCCACTGTTGGACACAACTAAGCCTTCTAAATATAGGTGGCAGCTAGGAGCCCTGGGCAGTGTATGGGACCTCTAACAGTGGAGCCAATGTTTATCCTTAGAGCACAAAAGGACTTTGTTAGCCTTTCCCTATGAAGGGATACAACTGCATCTCAGACGTGTGAAGGAGAGCATGGGCCCTCCTCCACTTAATGTGAGGGACTATGATTGGCTCCCTGTGTAGGGACTCACTAACCCTGAGGACAGGATGAGGACTACTGGACAGTATACGAGGATGGGAGGGCAAGGGAAGGAGGGAGCTGATATGTAAATAAGCATGCTGCTAAAATAAAAAAAGAATAATCCCTGAAGGAACCAATCGCAAAATACCATAACATAATCTAATTCAATCTTAAAATCAACAATTAAAAAGGTTTTAGATGTATTCTGAGAAAAACAGCATTAATATATCATATAAAATTGGATGCACATTAATTACCTGGTTCTATATATCCATGGGTACTGTAATGCCACTCCTCTTTATCTAACACCAAAGACATGAAGAAGAACAGAATATTCCATTTTCTATTTCTATGTTATCATAGTTTCTCTTCTGTCAACCAAATCTTGGGAAATCTGCACAGCCTGTCTAAGGCCAAATTAGCTGTCATTCTTTGACACATGCACTATGCATCTCTTCTTCTTGTCCTAAATCCCTGCAAAACAAAACAAATCAATAAGCTACGTGTTATAGGAATCTAATGGAATTTTGCACTTACTAGGAGAATTTTAGTCTCAAAGAAGAATAAGGACAAAATTATACAGATAGATTGAAGAAAATCCTCCCAACATCATAGGTAATAGGTCAGAGTCAGAGTTATGTCAATAACAATGACTTAAACAATGATAGATCTTATACAATAGACATGAACAATAATAGAACTATATGTCTCATGTCTGGAATTTGCCTGTATCACATAAACACTGTTGTCAAAATTTCATTTTGTACCATTTAGAACTGAAACATTAATAAGATCCACCCCCACTGAATCCTGCTAGGCTAGAATCCCAAAGAAATATCAGTGATGCAAGTATCCTGCTGTGTCAGGTCAAATCAACAATGAGGATCTGAAATATGCCATTATTCTGCCTTCCTTATAAAGATTGTGGCCTTGCTGATCCCAGCACAGACTTGGGAGCAACTCCAGAGCCTCTGCCAATATGCTGGTGGTCCTACTGACAGCGGCCTTGTTGGCCATGAGCTCTGTTCAGAGCTCAAATGCAGGTATGAAGTAGGGGAAAGGGTGGTACAGTGACATGAGACTTTGACAACAAACTGAAGTTCAGGACTGGGAGAAATGGAAAAAGATGAACAATAAACTGAGACAAAAAAGAGGAGAACAAATATTAAAATATTTATATTCTTATTTTGCCTGTTGAGCTTATACTTTACTTGCAGTATAATTTAAGAATATATACTTGAAACAAAATAACATGTGTGGATTTGTGAAAATTCACTTTTGTTGGTGGATGATAGAAGGCAGTATGTAAGAGAGTAATCTATTGACAGAGGGAAACACAGTTCTTAAGGTGCCATGAGAAGCAGGGGTGAATGATGCTAACTTTGGTGTTTGGAAGATAGAGAAAAATGCAGGAAATAAATATATACCAGAGATGTTTTTGAGAAGAGTAAAAGATGAAGAATTTGAAACTCTGTACAAAATGAGCTTGAAATAACAGGGAATAATTCCGTTGAAGATTACTTTAGTGCATAGGTGTGCATGCACAATGTCTTAAATGAATATATAGATACAGATATAGATAGACAAAGAGAGATACAGTTTGCATGCATATTACATTCCAGTCAGAGGACAACAAGCAACTACACATATACACATAGAAAGAGAGATTTATAAATTATTTCAATGCATGTGTACATTCACAATTATCTGTGAGTTGGTGTATATGTGTTTGAGAGAGAAACTCATAGACAAACACATAGAGAGAGAGTGGGCAGGAGAGCATATATATTCAAATTCCAGTCAGAGGATAATTATAGGTAGAAAGATTAGTCTTTCTAACATAGGATTCATATTTGAAACGTATTTCAATCATAGGCCAAGCACTTTTTACCCATTGAGATACATAGCTGCACCTATTTCTCAATTTTAATGTTGCATAGTCAGTATTCATTGTTCTATACATAGTATTTGAAACAATGTTTATCCTCATTTCATTGCATAAAATGCCTGTGACTATATCACATAGGAAGTGAAGGTGATAACGAAAAATATAAATGAGGCAAACCAGTTGTAGAGGTGGAGTAGTGATGAGCAAAGTTTTCAAGACCATGCTGGAGAATCCTACAGAAACAGATGACCTTAGCAACTGGGACCTCATGTAAACCAGCCAGACAATTGGGGAACCAACGAAGGACAGAACCAGACATACTTACCACTGTGAGAGTTAGGAGTCCTGGGCATTCTATGGGACTTCTTACAGTGGAATCAAAATTTCATCCTAGTGCACGAATGGATTTGGAAGTCCTTTACCTATAGAGGGCTACTCTCTCAGCATAATACACTTCCTGGGGCCTAGGACCAAGCTCAAACGATGTGATAGTCATTGATGATCACCCATGGAACAACTCACTCTCCCTTGGGAGTTGACACTGTGAGATTGCACAGGGAGTAAGGCATGGGAGTATGGGAGGGAGAACGAAATGGGATAGATATTAAAATAACATTGTTTCAAATTTAAATAAAAAATCAATGGAAAAAAACAAAAAAATTCTACTGAAATACAAAAATTCCCTGATCATACATGAAGACTAAGAGTAAGAAAAAAGAAAGCTAATAAGTAACCAAATAGGGGTTGATCGTGATCATAGATACCATTCTGGCAGCATTATCAGCAACATTACCTAAGAATAAAATTCTACTTGGTGGATGTGAAACTATAGTTGAAAATCCTCTTAACTGGGAATCCTCAAAAGGTCATAATTAACCTTTAACTTTCTTTGTGCTTATTTCCTAGCAAACATCTATGAAGACTCTCCTTCGCAACACTCAGGTAAAGCCAGATTTGTCCTCCAGAGACCTTCTATGCATTCTTCAGTGTTTTAAATATTTGGCTCTGTAAAGTCTCTGTATCATTTTGTTGTTTCATGGAATTAATGTGTCATAGCTTCTACTGTGATACATAAGACAAAGTCCCATCATTGCCTCTAGGACCTAGAGTAGGACTATACAATGGAAGCAGGGTAAGCCAGGTTTTTATTAGAAGAACATTGTGTCTCTCAGATTGAAGCAATATCATATATGGTATCCTCATTTAAATTTCTCCATGGCACACTTTCACCAGTGATCCCAAGAAGAAATTATATGCTAATCTTGAATAGATGACTAATACATGAATAGAAAATACATAAAAACTGAATAAAACATTTTTCATCGCATTTCTACATTTCTTTCATGTCCACATTACAACTGGAACCCGAACACCATGATATATTTAAGAGCAGTGATGTCAAAATTTTGTTATTTATTCTGGCAACTTTTAACCTGTAACATTTACAAATCCTTGAGTTTTCTTCGCTTCTCTCTGAGAATTGTCAGGAATATCCTATCACCTTTTATGCAACAAACTTAAGAAAAAAATTACTCCAAAGACTTGATACACAAGAAAGTTTATGTAGAGGATTTAAAATGAAGCTCCAATGGAACCAGGCACATAGAGCTGGGAGGGTGATCTTGGAGAAAGAGAAAGTTTGAACACCTCCTATATTGATCTATACCCCTGCAGAGGAAGAACAGCAAGGTCAAGGCCCTGATCAGCCTCTTCAGAGACCCCCAAAACCTTCTGCATCTGAAGAAGATAGTAATGATGATGGTGAAGAAGATGGAAACACAACACACAGACCACCACAACAAGGAGGTGATCACCAGAAACCTCGTCCTCCTAAACCTGGAAACCAAGAGGGAGGCCCTCAGCAGAATCGCCCTCCTAAACCTGGACACCAGCAAGGCCCACCCCAGCAGGAAGGCCAGCAACAGAATCGCCCTCCTAAACCTGGAAATCAACAAGGCCCACCCCAGCATGGTAGTGAAGAAGAGTCAAGTTCCCTGTAGACCTTTTATGTAAAACCAAGAGGTTCCATGGCAGTGTGAAGGTAATCAGATACATCATCCTTCACACCAACCCTCAGACTCCACAGATCAGCAACCTCTTCCTAAAGCCATGAATCATATACATTTCTAAATATTAAATTCCTTATACAACCTAGAATTCTATTGTTCCTGTGATTTAAACTCACTCTGCATCATATGCTTTAACTTAACAGAAATAGAAAGCCATAGAAAACAGAGATACTTCAAGAAATGTTGGATTTGCACATTGTAATTTTCTTGTCTCTGATCTTTGTTTTTCTATTCATTTGTTTCAGAGGAAGTTCAAGGTAGATACCTTTCATGTCACTTGCAATGAATAATGATGTTGTAAGTATACTTTCAACATTCTAATAAAACATTTAGCATGCAATTACTCTTTGCTGTTTCTTTTTCTGAGCACGAGTGAGTGAAATCCGGAGTATTTGACCATAAGTAAGGTGATTACAGACCAAGTCTTTAAGTTAATTTTGGAAGGAGGCCCTCCTTCTACATTTACAAATCACCCAACTACATTTTGAGAGACTCCCTTATTTCTGCCTTACTGTTGTGCCCACAGTTTTTCTTTATTTCCCAGTTCCCTGTGATGTTAGCAGGAGACTTCACACAAGACACGCATTTCAAGATCAAAATACATAATCAGTTTAACCTACAAAAATCCTCTGGGTATGTCATGTACCTTCTATGAGCAGTACACTAGAGAATAGCTGACTAGCAATACCTAAAAAAGGAGTCTTTGTTATTCACAGGTAATACTTTCTCAATTCACAATTGCATGTGAGAAAGACCTGTTCCTGTAGCCAATATTCTATGGACATTCAAGTATCAACAAGCTCACATTCTTTCTCTGACTTTTGCAGGCCTATGAATGCTCTGGTGTCTAGGGTACATGAGGTTCATTCTTTTCTTCGCTCTGTTTATTTTATATATATTATGTACTTGGGCATGAGGGAAAAATGAAAATTTTAAATTGTTTAATATATTTGGAACAGCATTTCATTTTTTTTGGTTTTATGAGACAGGGTTTCTCTGTATTGTTTTGGAGGCTGTCAGTCCAGCCTAGCCTCGAACTCACAGAGATCTGCCTGCTGCTGCCTCCCGAGTGCTGGGATTAAAGGCGTGTGCCACCACCGCTCGGCGCTGGAACAGTATATCAATCTAATTTTAGGGTTTGTTATTACATATGCATATTTCTTTACATTTTGTTGATATTAATTTGAAAGTTCAAAAATAATAAGAAGCTCTAGTTACCGAGGAATCCATAAATATGCATAATGTTTGAGCCTTATTTCATAGAAGCTGAATTTGCTGTTCTTTGAATGTTCTTTTTTAATTTTATTACTTCACCAATGTCAGATGCTTCTCTCCCTCTAGTCATACAATTCTTTATGGAAACTTAAATGACTTCTATTTAAGTCACAGAGTAGTGGATTCTCAGAAGTGAAAATAGTGGTCATTCGGGCATGTTGACAGGATTCGTGGAGATTTGTATGCAGAATCTTAGACACATGCTAACTGTATTCATCTACGACATTAGTGAAACTCTTTATTCTGGAGAAACCATTCATTTTTTTAACATTTTATTTTATTTTTATTTTCCAGTTTAAATTTAGATAAGAAACAAGGTTGCTTCACAAGTCAGTTCCAGGTCCCTCTCCCTTTCCCTCCCCTCCTCACATGCCCCGCCCCACCCCCCCTCCCCCGTTATCCCCTCATTACCCCAGGGAGGGTGAGGCCCTCCATGGGGGTGTCCATAGTCTGTCATTTCATATAGGGCAGGTCCTAGACCCTTCCCCAAGAGTTCAGGGTGAGAGTGCACCTCACATTATTCTATGGGAGTCCAAAGTCCGTGTATATACTTGGGATGGGTACTGATCTGCTGCCCAAGGCTCAATAGATTACCTAGGCCTCCTCACTGACACCCAGATTCAGGGGGTCTTGATCAGTCCCATGCTGGATTCCCAGGCTGATGCCTGGGATTCAAGAGTTAACCTTTGTCTGGTCAGCTGTTTCTGTGGGTTAAACCAGGCCAGTCTTAATCACTTTGATCATCAGTCCTCCCTCTCTGTTACTGGCTTTCTTGAGTTCAGCTCAGTACTTAACCAAGGGAGTCTGCCTCTTCTTCGATCAGCCACTTAATGAAGTTTCTGTTTCCCAGACTCTCTGGCCATAGGATTGTAGGCTGGTACTCCCCAGATCTATGTCTAAAATCCATATATCAGAGAGTACATGCCATGTTTCTCTTTTTGTGACTGGGTTACCTCACTCAGGATGGTTTCTTCTAGTGTCATCCATTTGCCTGCGAATCTCATGATTCCATTGTTTTTTTTTCTGCTGAATAGTACTCCATAGTGTAAATGTACCACATTTTCTCTATCCCCATTAAAATCCCAGCACAATTCTTCACAGACCTTGAAAGAACAATAATCAATTTTTTATGGAAAAACATAAGACCCAGGATAGCCAAAACAACCCTGTTCAACAAGGCAACGTCCGGAGGCATCACCATCCCTGACCTCAAGCTCTATTATAGAGCTATAGTCCTGAAAACAGCTTGGTATTGGCACAAAAATAGACAGGTAGACCAATGGAATCGAATTGAAAACCCGGGTATTAACCCACACACATATGAACATCTGATCTTTGACAAAGAAGCTAAAAATATACAGTGGAATAAAGAAAGCATCTTCAACAAATGGTGCTGGCATAACTGGAGACTGGCATGTAGAAGAATGCGGATCAATCCATGTTTATCGCCATGCACAAAACTTAAGTCCAAATGGATCAAAGACCTCAACATAAATCCAGCCACACTGAACCTCTTAGAAGAGAAAGTGGGTGGTACCCTCGAATGAATTGGTACAGAAGACAGCTTCCTGAACATAACACCAGTAGCACAGACAGTGAGATCAACAATTAATAAATGGGACCTACTGAAACTGAGAAGCTTCTGTAAGGCAAAAGACACAGTCAGCAAGACAAAAAGGCAGCCCACAGAATGGGAAAAATATTCACTAATCCCACATCTGACAGAGGGTTGATCTCCAAAATTTACAAAGAACTCAAGAAGCAAGTCTCCAAAACATCAAAGGACCCAATTAAAAAGTGGGCTGCAGAACTAAATAGAGAGTTTTCAATAGAGGAGTCTAAAATGGCTGAGAGGCACTTGAGAAAGTGCTCAACATCCTTAGCCATCTGGGAAATGCAAATCAAAACAACTCTGAGATACCATCTCACTCCTGTCAGAATGGCTAAAATCAAAAACACCAATGATAATTTATGCTGGAAAAGATGTGGTGAAAGGGGGCCACTCCTCCATTGCTGGTGGGAGTGCCAACTGGTTCAGCCACTTTGGAAATCAGTATGGAGATTCCTCAGAAAAATGGAAATAAACCTACCACAAGACCCAGCAACTCCACTCTTAGGCATATATCCAAAAAATGCCCATTCATACAACAAAGATGCCTGTTCCACTATGTTCATAGCAGCTTTATTTGTAATAGCCAGAACTTGGAAGCAACCTAGATGTCCCTTATTTATTTTATGAGTGGGTTTTGCCTATGTTCATGAATGTGTACCACATGCATCTAGTGCCTAGAGAGGACAGAAGAGAACACCTTGGATCTAGTGTCATTAAGAGGTATAACTCAACACATGATTGTCCAGAACTAGCTCCAGGTCCTCAGAAAGAGTTATAAATAATCTTATCTGCTATAAAAAAGTAACTGTTAACATCATTTCTTCTAAATAGAGAGAATATTTTACACACACAAACATATACACAAGATTTGTCATGATTAGGGAATATTCCAATTTTCTAAATCCCAGGATAGCTTGTTGTATGAAAGTAGCAGCAAGGTGTAAAGAAGGATGTGCCTCTGGTTAAAGTATACTGTTGTTGCAATTAAAGTAAAATATATTATTTATCTAAGTGATTCACGGGATGGTCCAGTAAGATACAATCAAATATCCAAAAACTACTTAATATAGAGACAGTGAAGTATTCCCAAGCAAGAAATAGTGGTAACTGAGTTCAGTAATAAGGTCTTAAACAATTTACTAAACACACTGTTACAGGACAAATCTCTCAAAAAAGATACTGTAAAAATACATATGTCAATTCCCTGAGAAACTAGCTCATATAAATGGCTATTGATTTCATTCCTCTATAAAATTACTAGCTTCCATGAAACATAATTTTTTTCAATTTAGAAGAAGCTTAAGGAAAGCCTCTATATCTGCTATGATGTGGCAGTAATTTATTGAACACACCCAAATATCCCATCTTCGCTGGTGCAAAAATTAGTTGCCAAGACAAAAAAAGTTAAGATTCATATTGTATAATATTTAATTATTTTTTTAAATGTGCCAATTTGGCTGTGCAAAACTAAGGAGTCTGCAATAAAATCCATTAAAGCAAGTAATATAGAATATGCTAAGACATTGTATATAATTATATTAACAAGGAGAAACTCAATTCGAGACAGCAAGGCAATATCCTTGGGGTGCAGGATTGATGGGAGGAAACAGAAAATTAAAATGATATAATTACATTTTAATCTCATGAACATTAATAGTCAACTAAAGATCTGTGTCATTGTTTGTAAGAGCTAATTTTATGTCACCTGAATCTCAGATCTAGCAGAATAGAAAACACAGTAGATGGGAAATAATAAAACTTAAAAAATTCTATATTAGAGAAAAATGTGATATTTGCAAATTTTGTATACCACCAATGGTGCTTCAATAAAAGGAGAGTAGAGTATATATTGCTCACATTGAAGTAGCTTACATTCTTCTCACAATTGTGAATGATGGACATTATAAAGTAGGAGTAATTTACTCATTGCATTCACACAAAATAGAGGGCAAAGACATCTTTGTGTATTAGCAGTAGTCAAATATCAGTGAACTTGCAAGAAACATACTTCCACA